TATATATATATATATATATATATATATATATATATATATATATATATATATATATATATATATATATATATATATATATATATAACAATTGGGAATTTTCATTTAATTATTTTTACGGAGCTTTCCATTGTTAATTAAATTTGTCAGTTTAATTTCGTCTCATGAGGTGATGAAAGTTTGAAAACCCACAAGCTCAAAATGTTTCTTTTAAAATAATCAGCCTGAAGTGCATCATCATCACCATCATCGGATGGCCAGAATCATTATTCATTTGTCAACAAAGGGAAAAAAGTTTGGGATCAATTTAACGAAACAAATAAGAGAGTGTTGCCAATTTAATGATGAAAAATTTCATTTCATTTAAAATATTCTTCGTTCTCTTCTTTTTTTTTTGGAATTTAAAAAGTATAATAATTTGATAAATATAAAATCAAATATTAGCTTGGATTATCAATCTTAAACTTTTGAAATTTCAGTGAAAAAATTTTAATTATATTCTGAGGAATTCTTCCGAAAAAATACTTTGCATAATCGTAATCACAATCTTACATGCTTTAATCTTTGGTTGCTATAATTTTGAAACTTTAAAAATTCGTAATTTTCATATCATTTCGCAAAATTCTTATCAACTTTTTTTTTTTTGCAAAATTTTATGTTTGAAAAATTTAATCCTATCTGTATAAACCATTTAATGGTAAGTGTAAGTGATTGTATTGCGACGATACGTCTAATAAATGTATTAATTAACTTCCGTTTGTGAACATTCAAAAAATTTGAAAAATAAATTGTCCTTTCAAATACTGATAATTAATTAGTACGGTTCTCGTTGCTTCATGTATTAACTGCATCAGACCGATAAGCGACATGCATTAAATATTCGAGTACCATACATCAGAGATGAAATATCAGTTTAAGATGGCTTACATCAAATGTTTCAAATTTTAGGTGTAAGATAATTTCGGCTATTGTTTAAAAAATAAAAACCAGGTAAATTTCAATACAACTTTTCGCATGATTAAAATTAGTGATAAGCTTTGACACTTAAATCACTTAATAAGTCTTCAAATTTTGAATTTAGCAACTCTGCAGTGATAAAAATCCCTAAGAAATAAAAAATCACGGAACTCAAGATATCACCCTGAACATCACTGAGATCACTGAAAAAATCTTTTTTTTTTTGATCGAATCCAATATGACCATTAACCTTTGAGGGCATAACTTTGAAGAGATTTCTACCCACCAAAAAAAGACGGCGTTTGTCCTTGTCATGGCAATTTGAACTTATCTTTTTATTACAATGGATAAATTAGATCAGTAATAACGAATTTGTGTTGTCAAATTTATTCACCTTTTTATTTTGGTTTTTTCATTTTTCCTCCAAAACTTACTCGACAATAGATGGAAATTCCAAATAATTTATTATTTAATTAAACTGACATTATTCCCGTAAAAGATTTTTTTACAATCAATTTCTTCATATATGTTGCACATTGCTATGTAAAATGAAATACTGCGATGTATTTCTTCCATAGAGAGACACAATATCAGTGTAGTTGTTTTTGATAACTTTGATTATTGCAGATGATATTGACATTTTTAAAATTAGACTATCAAAAATAGCGATAGCTTGATATAGTTGCTCGAGAGCTTAGGAAGTGATGGTTTGTCTAGTTCATTTTACTAGGCTCCTACTTGTGAAGGAAAGAAGCAAAGGGCAAGGACCAATATCTATCCATACTGGTTAAGTTGATAGATAGATTCAAGTTTAAACATTGACATTCATGATACTTGTAAATTTTGGTTTTGAGATTTGATGTACTAAGAAACAAAAGAAGATAGAATTTTAATCCCATAAATTGCATGTAGACCTTCCAAAAAACACCAGTCACTTCATTGATCCAAGTACAGATTGGTAGCGGAACTGATCACAAACACGGGAGAGCAATATGTCAATAATGAGGACCAAATTTTGTTAGAATCTGAGGAGAATCCTGCAAATCATTTTAAGTTCAAACGGGACATAATCATCAATAAATCATGGCAAAGATGTCGTAATGGAAGGATATGCTCTTAATAACTTACACTTATCAATCTTTTTTTTAAAAAAAAAAAGCTTTATCCGCCCTTTATCTCGACAAGTATGTGAATGAAAATTAGTATAGAAGCGATAGAAATTCACTCATAAGTTTGAATAGTAAGAATACAATGCGTAAGCTCTTAGATAGGCGCATACACATATGATGTTTGTAAGTCCGACCTTTCAGTTTAAAATAGAATGTCGAAATTATGCATGTGTGAAGCGTATGTGCTTACATACATTCATAAGTTCGACTTCTTTGGTTGTTGCATTGTAATTGCTGTGATCATTGAATCCTTAACGCTTAATTTCGGAACAGAAAACAAAAGGAAAACATATACAATAATTCAAAAAGGAGCAATTCCTCCTTTCAACACCAATAATTAATAAGTAAGCATTTAGACGAAGAATGATAGCAGTAAGTGTAAAGCGTAGAATTACAGAGAGAGAGAGAAGAAAAAAAAATTACAGAGAGAGAGAGAGAGAGAGAGAGAGAGAGACAATAAACCAAAGATCGTCCTCTA